GGGAGAAGCAGGCTCCATGCACCGGGAGCCTGACGTGGGATTCGATCCCGGGTCTCCAGGATTGCGCCCTGGGCCAAAGACCGGCGCTAAACCACTGCGCCACCCAGGGATCCCAATTTAAAATTTTAAAAAGATGGGCAGTCTGGGTGGCTCAATGGTGGGATGCCTCCCTTCAGCCCAGGGCATGATCCTGGAGACCCAGGATCAAGTCCCACATCGTGCTCTCTGCATGGAGCCTGCTTCTCTCTCTGCCTGTGTCTCTGCCTCTCTCTCTCTCTGTGTCTCTCATGAAAAATAAATAAAATCTTTTTAAAAAACTTTAAAAAGAAACTTATAAAATATAAATGGGAGGGCTAAAGACCTGAGCAGACATTTTCCAATGGCCAACAGGTACATGAAAAAGGGTAAATGCAAATCAAAACCACAGTGAGATATTACCACACATCTGTTGGAGTGGCTATAATTTAAGAAAGAAAGAAAAGTGTTAGTGAGGATGTTAAGAAATTGAGAAACTGGAACCCTTGCATACTGTTGGTGGGAAGGCAAGCTGTTGTGGCCACTCTGGAAAACAGTGTGGGGGTTCCTCAATAAATTAAACATAGAACTACAATATGATCGAGCAATCCCACTTCTGGGTATTTCTCCAAAAGAATTGATATCAAGATCTGGAGGAGATATCAGCACACCTGTGCTCATTGCAGCACTATTCTCAACAGTCCAGATAGGGAAACAACCTAAACGTCCATCGACAGATGAATGGTTGAGGATGATGTAATATATGTATAATGGAAGCTATTAAGAGGATAGATCTCCCATGAACTGATAATAAAGTAAAAGAAAGATAAAAGAACATGAAAAATATTTTCCCAGTTGAAACAAAAGCAAACACCACACTCAGATGTCACTTCTCAGACATCAGACTGGCTAAAAAAGTTAAAAGACAAAAAAAAAAAAGTTAAAAGACTGTCCATGCTAAGTGTTGTTGAGGATGAGGGGCAACGGGCACTCTCATACATTGCTAGTGAGAAAGTAAAATAATAATACTTGGGAAAACAGTGTAGCACGTTCTTCAAATATTAATCGTGTGCCTCCACAGTGATCCCCTCACTGCCCTCCTGGGTGAAACTCTACACAAGAGAAATGAAAAGATGCACTCATTTGAAAAACTCCTGCACAAAAATTCCTGGTAAGTCTACTTGTAATAGCTCAGAGTTGGAAACAACATAACTGCATAAACGAGTGAATGAATTTAAAAAACCACAAAGCCTGGATTTCCTGGATGGCTCAGTTGCTTAAGTGTCTGCCTTTGACTCAAGTCATGATCCTGGGGTCCTGGGATTGAGCCCCGTTCCAGGCTCCTTGGTCAGTGGGGAGTCTTCTTCTCCCTCTGCCTACCCCCACACACTTGTGTTCTCTCTCTCTCTTGCTCTCTCTCACTCTGCTCTCTCTCTCTCAAATACATAAATAGTAAAAAACCTTTAAAATTTCCTGCATGGTTCAATGTAATGCAACAAAGCTTAAAAAAGAAAAAAACTGAATATATCCAAGAACTTGTAGCAATAAATGACACTGAGTAAAGAAGTCTGACATTGTATTGTCCCGTCCCACATTGTATTGTATTATTCAACTTTTCAAATTTCTAAAAAATGAAAACCAATCTGTAATGACAAAATAAAATATAAGGCTTCATGGGAAAATAGGGAAGGAGGGTCAAATGGGGCAGAATGAAAAGAATAAAGAGGACATGAGATTTTTGAGAGAAAGGGACACCTTCACTATCTTCAGGTAGGAATGAATTCTCTGGTACAGGGGCATGGCAAAACTTATTACATTGTATACCATAAATATGTTGAGTTTCTTATATGTCAACTCTAACTGGACAAAGTCATTAACAATTTTTGATACATATGGGAAATATTTACAAAATTTAAAAATACAGAACTGGGTAGCAGGACTTTTTCTGCCATATATTTCCCTTCTTGTCCACCAGGGAGCAGCAGAGCTGCTCCACAGACTGGAGCCTTCCTCAAAGAGCCCATGGCCCAGCAGGTTCTGACCCTTCCCAACTTCACCCAGTCACCAGTTCCTGGCTCCCGGGCTCCCCCCACTGCACTCTCTCACCCCCTCTGGCTGGCTGGCCAGGTGTCTGTTTGCTGAGACTGGTTCCTCTGTGGGCAGTTTGTCCCTCCAAAAACTCTGTTCTTCCAGGGGTGAAGGTCCACTCACGCTTCCTGCTTCAGTAAAAGATCACTCTCCCAGGACTGCTTCATGTGACCCCCCCCCAACAGCTGAGACCCCCTTCTATACTCCAAACCCACCAGACACGTTCCCTTCCTGGCCCTTCTCTAGATTATAATTGACTCCTCGGTGCCAAGATCCTGAGTGCCTGTGGCTCTGAAACAGGGTAAACCCCTCAGGTCCCATTTCTGTCCTGTTTTCTGTGTAGTTCCCAGGACCCAGCCCAGGGCCTGACATGTCACAGATGCCCCATAAATACATGCATGAGGGAAATTACACAATGAAAGCATTTCCCCCCCTCAGGTGATACCTAGTCAGAGCCCCTTCCCTGTAGACACAGGGCCATGGCAACAGCATGGGAGGAGGCCAGCAAGTGCTCAAGGCCATCCCTTTAAGACTGTGGGGCCTCTACCCCTCTAGATTCAGGAGGGAGGACAGGGGCCTCCAACAGTTAGAGGCTGGACGCCCGGAAATTCAGAACACTGGTGCCCTTTGCCATCTCCATCTTGTGAATGACTTCTCTCCCCAGAGGGCCTGGGACGACAGCCTGTGTCCTTCCTTTTCTCTCAGAGATCTGACCTGGCACAAATTCTGGATCACACCCCAGGCGGAGTTACCACCGGGGGAGGTCAGAGCCCTACGCTGACTTCAAAAGATGCCCTGTGGCGACTCCTCATCCTGAGGGCTGGTGAGCTGTGGAGACCCCTGCTGTGTCTCCCTGAAGATTTCTCAGCAGCCCACGGTGGCCTGGGGAACCAGGGGACGTTACCAGGCAGATGGCACAGGAAAACCCAGGATCCGCCTTTGTTTCCAGGGACTGAGGGTCTCCTCCCCTATCCAGAGGCAGCCCTGGGATCCCTCAGCTGTCTCTGGGTGGAGACGCTCCAGCTCCTGGTTCCTGTGGGGATGCCTAGAGCAGAGGACAGACAGGGACACAGATGACTTGGAGGCAGTCCCCCCACTCCCTGGGCTGTGATGCGGAGACAGGGGATTGTCTTGTCCAGCCCCCCAGACTCTTGCCTTTTCCCCCAATTCTCCAGAGACTTACTAGGTCATTCCTTGAACTCTCAAGGACAGAGAACTTGCCCTGTGGAGCACATCCCTGGGTGTACAATTCTCCTGACACAGGATCAGGAATCTTCTGGACAGTGCCCTGTCCTCTCCCCCAGCTCACCCTGCCCTGGGATGGACCCAGGTAGTCTAGTACCCATAGGGACCAGGACCTGGGGTGACCTGTCCCTCACTTCTGCCCAGGGCTCAGGGCCACCCACATCCTTAGGAGCCTGGTTAGCATTCGGGGTGCAGCCCCTGGCAGGGCCTCCAGGGGTGACATAGGGACATGCAGACAGTTCCCAGGAACCCAAACCCTGAGGCTGGCTTTGACTAAGGACGTGGAGGAGGAGCCTGGTTTCCATCCCTTTCTCCAACAGACCTCCTGGTCCCTCCCACATGCCTGTTCTGTCCTGCTTAGTCATCTATGCCCTAGGAGCACCCCAATCTCTCAGAAGTCCCTGTGCAGCCCCTACTCTTTGCCTGGCACCAGCCATGGAGGCAGCAGGGTGACTACAAGAGGCTTCCCCAAGCAGAGGACACAGGCTGCCCAGGACACTCAGGAGCACATGGGCAGTCTCTGGGCCACAGTTCAGCCAACAGACACTGAGAGGGAGGGTCTCCTCAGAACCTTCCCTTGAGAACGAGGAAACCCCAACCACCTGACCTCCCACCACCATCTTTTCTTCCCAGGACATGCAGGAAGTCCTCTTCACACCTGGGAACTGATCTCCTGAGACACCTGGGTTCTGGGTCTGTATTCTTAGAGCAGAGGCCAGGCTGCTGACACCCAGGGATGGACACTTGACCCTCACCAGTCATCACCTTGCCTGTCCCTTTCTCACCCCAGAGTCCTCTCTGTGACCTTGCTGCCAGGAGGAAATCCATCCTCCCCAGAGCAGGTGAGATCACTGGAGAGACCCGGGCCCGGCTGGGCTTCTCTGTTCCAAAGGGAAACGATACCCTGGATCTGGGGACCCTGGGCTGTGTGTGTGGTGCCCACAGATTCAAGGCCAGGACACAGCACAGGCCCCTGAGGGAAGGGACAAGGGTCACCCCGGGTCCAGGAGGATCCGCGACCCTGGGAGCTGGTTAGATGTAGGCTCCGGGGTCCACACCACACCTGCGGAGTCAGATCTGCTTTTCCACAGGATCTGCGGACCCTCCCTGCGTGGGCGCAGAGCAGAGGCGGCCCCGGCGCCACGTCCCGGGGTCTCAGCCTGGCTGCGCATCTGCTAAAGCAGCCTGTCCAGGGGTCACCTGGGCCTCCGCACTCTTGATGACGTTCCCCAGGTGATCCCCAGGCCCGGTGGGGGTGACGTCCCGGGACAGGCGCTCTGGAGGCGGCCCCGGGCTCCCGCTCTGCAGGGGGAAGCCCCAGGGCGAGGAGGGAGGGCTGTGGGGGCGCGGACCCTGCACCTCGCCCCGGAGCTGCGGGGCGCGCCCCGGGCCCGACGCCCCGGGCTCGTGCTCGTGCCAAGCAGGCCCCGTGCGCGCGCTCGCGTCTGCCGGGAAATCCCAGCTGGAGACGGGGAGGCCTCAGCAGCTGCGGGGACCCCCACGGGGACAGAGGAAGGGAACCCGGGACCTCCGTCGGGAGGGGGGGGGCCGGCGAGCCCCCGCCCGGCCCACGTGACCCGGCCCCGCCCCCAGAGGCGGCCCCGCGCGGAGGGGGAAGGACGCGGAGCTGTCGGGCGGGACCGCGGGGCCCGAGCGTCTGCGCGGCTGCAGCTGCTCTCACCCGGGCCGGACGGAGCGGGCAGCGGGCACCATGGAGCCCCCCTCGGCCTCGCCCCGAGCAGGGCGCGGCCCCTGGCAGGAGCTCCTGCTGGCAGGTGAGGGGGCCGATCCCCTGGGAGGGGCGGGAGGACGGGGGAGCGGCGGCCTGGGGCCTCGGGGTGGGGGGGGGACGGGACGGGGCTCCGCAGGGGACGGGGCGGCGGGCGGGGCGGGGGAGCCGGCTCAGCGGCGGGACGGCCTCGGGATCTGCAAGTGGGGAGTGAGGGGCTGGGTCCCAAGGGCCGCCTCACCGGGGACTCAGTTTTGCAAGCTGACGGCAACCACACCAGGGACCCCAAACCCTGCCCTTGCCACCACCCTGGGGTCCTGACCGATAAGCGCCAGACTCGGAGGGCCCTGGGGACGCTCAGCCCTGGGTATTTGCAGCCGGGCCACCCCGGGGTACAGCACAGAGCAGACCAGTCCCTGCTCCCTGAGCTCACTTCTCTGGGAGGAAGACAGACCCGCAGAGACATCTAGAATGTCCTGTCGGGTACTGACACACCTCCTGAAGGAAACAGAGCAGGGGAAGGTCAGATAATGAGGACAGAGGGTCCCCAGAGGAGCAGGTTAGGGCAGGCCTCTCCCAAGGACCCCTTGGGTATGAGCAGTTATCTGAGGGCAGTGAGGGAGTGAGCCACACACATCTGAGGAAGAGCATTCCAAAGAGAGAAATAAACCCAGGGGCACATAAGTAACGTGGACATTCTGCTGACTTTATCGGGAGACACACACAGACACCCAGATATGTGTAAATGCTCACACACCCAGAGCCTGGGGGATTGGAATCTGCTCCATCTCCAGGGCCCCAGCTCTCCATCCCAACACATAGGTCCAAACACTGATCCGTCCCCTCTCTTCCCTCCTAGTCTCACTCTTAATCTCCTGGAACCCGCCCACCACTGCCCAAGTCACTGTGGAGTCCGTGCCTCCCAATGCTGCTGAAGGGAAGGACGCTCTTCTGCGGGTCCTCAATCTGCCTGGGGATACAGCAGGCCTTACCTGGTTCAGAGGGGAAATTGTAGCACCTGTCCATCAAATTCTATTATATGTAGTAGACACACGAGTAATTACCCTGGGGCCTGCACACAGTGGCAGAGAGATAATATACCCCAATGGATCCCTGCTGTTCCAGAACATCACCCTGAACGACACAGGATCCTACATCTTACAAATCATAAACAGAAAATTTGAAACTGCACTAGTACGTGGACAGCTCCGAGTATTCCGTGAGTAATTCCTCTCTCACCTCTGGTGTCGAGTGGGGGGAATTCTACTTCACACATACAGGATTCACAGGCCTGCACTGGGCCTCCATCCCTCTCTGCATTATGTCCCTGTAGTGGTTCAAGCATTTAGGTGGGGACCCACACACACTGGAGACACATTTCCTGAGATACGAATTCCTTTCCTGGAATCCAGACTGTGATCACCTGACAAAGACCCTGCAGGACTCATTCAAGGCCATGCCTGAGGGATCCTCCCCAGACCTCAGTTCAGAAAGCGCTTGCCCAGACCACTGTCTTGGGGCCCCTGATTCTGGTGACTCTGGGAGTCTGTGCCAGGATGGGGTTAGGGCTCCTGTACAGAGCACAGAACTGGGAACAAGGATTTGTTAGAGCTGGTCACCAGCCAAGTGCTCAGTCTCAAGAGCCACTTTGGGGGAGGGACAGAGCCTGGGCCTTCACCTGAGGCTCAGCATGGACAGCACAGACATAGCCGGTCCCCAGTCCATTGGCCAGCTTCTGTGGGGGAACTTGGGGGATACTGGAGGAAGAGCAGCACCCCCAGGAAGGAGCAGAGCAGTGACATGCTCCTGGCAGCTCCTCCTCCACCCAGAATCAGGCCCCGGGAGCCCATTCTTATGGAGGTGAGCAGGAACAGAGGCCATTTGACTGACCAGCTCCAGATGGCCCGGACACACCCACTATTTTCCCCTGACTCCTACTACCATCTAGGGGCAAACCTCAGTGTCTCCTGCCACGCAGCCTCTAACCCACCTGCACAGTATTCTTGGCTTATCAGTGGGAGGCCCCAGCCATCCACACAGGAGCTCTTTATCCCCAACATCACTGCCAACGATAGCAGATTCTATACCTGCCTCGTCTATAACTCTGGCACCTGCCTCAATAAGACCACAGTCAAGACTATCACAGTCTCTGGCATCCCTGGAGCATCTGCACTGAGCACTGTGGTGAAGGTCTGTCTGCCTTTCAGAAAAGAGCCTGGAAAAGTTATTTCCCCTTTGCTCCACACGATCAAGTCCCAGATCTCTCCCTCAACTCTCCTACTACATGTCTGCAGGTGTTTCTTCCCCTTGCTCTCAGATTTTATTATTTTTATTTTTTTATTTATTTACGATAGGCACACAGTGAGAGAGAGAGAGGCAGAGACACAGGCAGAGTGAGAAGCAGGCTCCACCGGGAGCCCGACGTGGGATTCGATCCCGGGTCTCCAGGATCGCGCCCTGGGCCAAAGGCAGGCGCCAAACCGCTGCGCCATCCAGGGATCCCGCTCTCAGATTTTTCATTGCAGACTTTGAGTTCAGCCTGGAATGTGGGAAGAGGGGTTCTCAGCTCCAGAAAGCCCGTCGCATAAAAGTAGGCTTTGCAAATGGGGAAGAAAGAAGAGTCATCAGGGTCAAGTTGCTTTTTGCTGTTGTTAAATTGCAGAAGTGCTTTATATATTCTGGATATTAACCTCTTACCAGATATGAGTTGCAAATGTTTCCTTCCAATTTGTGAGTTGCCATCACTTTTTTTTAGTGAACTTTAGTTGACACACAATGTGTCATTAGTTTCAGGTGTACAACATAGTACTACATAGTACAACGTAGATTGAACAACTCTATATGTTATGCTGTTTCCACCCAATGTAATTCGCATCTGCCACCATGCAGCCCCAATAAAATACATTGACTGTTTTTCCTGTGCTGTACATTTCATCCCTATATCCTGTTCATTCCATAAACTAGAGCTACACCACTGCTAACTGTGTTTGGATGCACAGAAGATGGAATCCCATTCATCTATTTGTTGTTGTTGTTGTATTTGCTTTAGTGTCATATCTAAGAAATCATTGGGAAATTCAGTTTCAGTAAGTTTTTACTTTATATTTTCTTCTATAGATTTTTATATAGTCTTCCAAACTAGTGTTTAAATGTTTGATCATTTTAAGTTATTAATTTCTATGCAGGACGTAAGGTCAGGTCCAACTTAATTCATTTGCATGCATATCCAGTGATCCCAGCAACATTTCTTGAATAGAAACATTTCTATTCAAGAACATTTCTCCTTTGAATGGTCATGACAGCCTTATTGAAAATCATTGGACTACATATGTCCGGGTTTGTGTCTGGGGTGCCTATTTTATTCCACTGATCCCTATGTCTGTCTTTAAACCACATCAATATAATGATATTGGCTACTGTGATTCTGCAGTCAGGAAGTAGGAGCCCTCCAACTTTGTTCTTTTTCAAAACAATTTTGGGGAAAAAAAACAAAAAACAAAACAAAACAAAACAATTTTGGTATTTGACGTCCCTGAGATTCCATGTGAATTTTTGGATTTCCTATTTCTGCAAAATATTTCCTTAACAATTTGATAGGGAGGCACCTGGCTGACTCAAATGGTGGAGTATGAGACTCTTGATCTAGGGGTTGTAGGTTTGACCCTCATGTTGGGTGGAGAGATTACTTAAAAAGAAGTCTTAAAAAAAGATTTTGATAGTAATTACATGGGCTCTATGGACCTCTTTAGTCAACATTGCCATCTTAACAGTAGGAAGTCTTATCATCCATGAACATGGGATATCTTTCCATATATTGGTGTCCTCTGTAATTTCTTTCAGCAATGATTTATAGAATTCCATAGACAATATTGACTCATAAATTAATTCCTAAGTATTTTTTCTTTTTTCCTAAGTATTTTATTTTTACTGTTCTTACAAATAGAATTGTTTTCCTAATTCCTTTTTTGGGTACATCACTGTTAGTGTTAGCCACGCAGTCCTTTTTGTATGTTTATTTTGTATCCTGCAATTTTTTACAATTGCTTATTAGCTCAACAGTTTTTTGCATGTCATCTTTAAGGGTTTGTACATATAATTTCATGTCATCTGCAGACAGACATAATTGTGCTTATTCCTTTCCAATTTGATTCCAATCCAACTAATTCTGTTTTTTTTTTCCTCCTAAGTATTTAGGCCTGGACTTCTGTACTGTATTTAATACTGGTGGTGTCAATGGCATGTTTATCCTCTATCTGATCTTAGAATGCTTTCAATGTTTCATCATGGAGTACGAGGCTTGCTAAGAGTGTTTCATAAAAGCCTTCATTATGTTGTAGTAGTTTCCTTCTATTCCCAAGGGTGCAAGTATTCTGTATACAGTGACCACTTCTCTACAGAAGGGATGAGAGTCAATCCACAGATCTGGAAGTGAAAGTCTTCTTCAGAGTGAGAAATCCTGTAGATTGAAAATCCTTTGAATCCTAAGGTTATGCTGAATGGGCAGGCCACTCTCACTCCCTAGTAAATTATAACAGTATGAATGCCTTCCCTATTTTACACAAAGCTGCCTTGGACACAGAGAGGGAAGGGCTGTGAGTCTTCCTCCCCCAACACATATGGAAAGTTATATAAGGAAAGAGACCTGATCTTTAAGTCACAAAAGTTCAAGAAATTTACAGTTTTCCATGGGAAAAAATTCCCCCTGGTGACATGGTTGACCATGTGGGGGAAGAGATTGCTGATGCTGATGTTAGAGAGATGTCCAGGCAGAGCAGACACATGACTGAGGGACAGAAGGAAATGTAAGGGTCAGAGGGGGAGGTACAGCCCTAGTACAGACCATCACCTGACAAAAGACACTCATCTTCTGCAATCATCAGGGCAATATTCTGGGACACCTTTACAGAGTTTTCTGGGACTCTTAGAGTGGCTGTGATCTCAAAGGAAGGAGCATGGCCTCAGGCCCACTCTCATTGCATCTCCTGTATTTCTCCAAAGAGCCACAGGCCCAGGACTCTTGCCAGGGCAGCACAACACAGTCACAGAAGATAAGGACTCTGTGTTCCTGACTTGCTCTGCAAGTAATGCTGGGGTCTCTATCCAGTGGTTCTTGATTGGCCAGAATCTAAAGCTCATGGAGAGAAGGAAGCTGTCCCAGGGCAACCCCACAATGACCATATTCCCTGTCAGGAGGGAGGATTCTGGGAATTACCAGTATGAGGTCTCCAAGGTGGTCAGTTGCAGCAAAAGTGACCCCATCAAGCTAGATGTGATCTGTGAGTGACCCTCGTTCACCATACCTTCCTCCATGTATATTTTGCTGGTAGGGGGTGTGAAATGGATGCAGCCTCAGAGAAGATGGGAGACTCCTCCAGAGCCTCTAGGGAAATGTCCTTAAGATCCCCAGAATTAAACTACTCTTGTTAGCATCTTGGTTCTGATATATATAAGCCGTGGACCTCAAGCAAAATGCTCAATCTCCTGAACCTCCATTTTCTCATCTATAAAACTGGAAAGAACAGCTGGACCTTAGGGCTGTCATGAGAGTTGTTTATATGGGTTCATGAGATGAAATCTTGAGGTAGCATCATACGCAGATTTAGGACTCAATGAAATTAGCAGGTATTTTTCCTTTATTAAGTTTTTGTTACTAGCTGTAATATCATGTGGACTTGAGATTAAGTGTTCTGTTATCAAGTTCCAGCTCTGTCACCTTCATTAATTTAGTTAATCCCTTTACACAATGCAGATGCTCATTTTGCACTGTGGGGATGATACCCAGGCCCTCCCGGGAGGAGAAGCAGTACATGAGATAATACTTCTCTTGTGCCTTTCACAGAGCTGACCTCAAAAGCAGTCAGCTAATGGTATTCTCTTTAATTAGTGTTGAGTGGACAGGTAAGGGCCTCCTTCTAAGGCCATCAATGATGATGAAATGGAGGATGCGGAGGAAGAGGCATAATGTGAAAGGAAATTGAACTGGATGCCAAGGCTGGCCCTGGAGGTGGAAAGATAACTTGAAGATTATAGCATGTCCATGGTTTCACTGTGTGGAACTGAAATAATGCAGTGGCCAAGGGGGTCAGGACACACAGCACCCAGACTTTGGTGGCCTTGCCTTCCTCCCTAAGCAGGTCCTTCCCACACTGTCCCTCCTGGTTTCCCCAGTTTTGACTTTGGATTCCTTCTCCTCCCTTTTTCTTCTTATTTCAGATGAAAGAAGCACCATAGGCCTCCCTGTGGGGTCCATCATTGGCATTGCACTCGTGGTCCTGATTGGAGTAGCACTTGTGGCCACACTGGGGTATCTCCTGATCTGCACAAGGACTGGAAGGTACAATGGCAGAGGCTGATTCTGTCCCACAGCTGACCTCTGGGCGGGAGGGAGAACCCTTCCTGACCTAGAATTCTGGGTTTGGCTCTTCCAGGCCTCCCAACTGCCCCCTGGGTTTTCCCTCTCATTCCTTCAGGCTCCTTCTTCATTAGCTGCAGACCTGGGTGCTTCCTTCACAGCCCTCTCTGTTATAAATTAGAGACAATTAGGGAAAAGCTCCACAGGGTTGTCCTGGATCACTTGGCAAATCTACAGCAGTACAGACAAGAGTAAGTGCTTAGTAAACAGCAACTCTCATGGTTTATATAAGTCCACAGGCCTTTTAGGGGGATTTGTGGCCTCAGGATGTGAGGGTGGTCCTGGCCAATTACACCCAAGGGAGACTGGAAGAGCCTTCCAGGCCAGGTAGGGTCATCGCCCAAAATGGCAGGTGCAGGAACCATAGGTTCTGTTGTGTGAGACAAGAGAACCTGGGCTCATACAGGGAGAGGTCCTGGGATGTCCTTTATGCCTCTTTCAGGCTGATGGACAGAGAATACAGGCTGTTGACACACTACAGCATCTCCTGGCCTGAGGGGGTGAAGGTCTGGCCACAGGAGGGGCCTCAGATTCAGGGATCCAGCATCCTCAGGTCTCCCCACATGTCCTGCATTTACAGCTGCAGACTTGCAGCTCCATTCAGTCAAATCCTTTGTTTGATTCCTCTCCTGGGTCCTCCGTCCCATTTCAGGACACTTTCTCTTAGATCCCATTGCCTGCGGGTCTTCTGCTCTGGGCCTAGGACAGACCTGCTCTAAAGTCCTTTCCTTATCCCCTCTCCTGGGCCCTTACTCTCCTAAACAGCAGTAGTGGAGAGAGAGTTCTCTAAATCCTGCCTGAAATGAGGATTCTCTTTGTCTCCTATTCCAACACCAATGATATGACCTCACCCTGCATCCCACCTCAGTAAGGATGTTTTCTCCTAGGACCAGTGGCTGGTGTAATCTCAGAGAGTTCGGGGGCCCAGCATCCACCCCTTGTGAGTATCTCTTCATCCTGGGTGGGACTGGGAGTCATAAAATCCTGCTGCATTGTGTGAATCCTGCCAGTCACCCACCCTTGGAGCCTCTGATCCTTTTTCTAGGGCTTCTGCACAGAGGTCCTCACTGGTCATACTCCCTGACCTGTGGAAATAGATCATAGGTCACCTGGCCCTCATTGGTCCCTAAAATGGCCAGTGGGTCTCTACCTGGGGGGGCTGTCCTCCTTCTTCCCTGGTTTTCTGAGAGCTAAAGATGTGTCCCTGACTGGGAGGGTGGGCCTAAGCCTCCTCACAGCCCTGGATGCTAACTCCTGTCTCTGCTCACAGGCCATGCTCCAGCCAGCAGCTCCATATCCCCGGTAAGCCCCTCTCCCCCACTCTTTCCACTGGGGATCAGACTGTACAAGCTCAAGGCGGGGCCATCAATCAAATTCCACAGCACAGCGTGGACCCTGCTTCCACCAGAGTAGCCAGGACAAGGCAAACCCTTTTCTGCCAGGAGTGGACCCACTTCAGGGACAGAACCACACCCCACCATGTTCTGAGTTTCCCCTGCTCCCCTGAATTGGCCAAAAGTGAACCCTGGAGTCCATCCAGGGGCAGGGTGGGCATTGGGATCATCAGCCAATGGTCCTGGGGTAACAGAAATGGGGCAGGAAGTGCAGTGGGGAGTGGTCTGGGACAGGGGTTTGGTTATCAGGCTTGGAGAAGGCTGCTCTCAAGGTAGAACTGGTCATTTCTGTAGAGATGACACTCCCACTCTATCTACCAACACCCATTCTCTCCTGTTTAGGATTCCCTGCCCAACCCCACAGCAGAAGTTCCTATCTACCAGGTGAGTGTGGGCAATGGTAGTTTGGGTCCCCATAGCTTTATGGGCCAGAGGATCTGCCCCCAGCCTACCACAGGCTGTGCTCTCAGATTCAGGAAACAGCAGAACAAAGGGAAACAAGAGGTAGTAGGAGGTATAAGGGGCCTGGAAAAGAAACCAGCCACAGAGCCCAGCTCTCAGAGTTGCTGCCCGGGTGGTCCTAGATTCTGAAAGTCACCCAGATATGTTCTCAGAAGTTTACAGGGGTTCATAGGCCTCTTCCTGTTTACAGGAATTACAACATCCTGACACAGACATTTACTGCCAGATTAACCACAAAGCAGAAGTGGCTACTTAGTTTCACCCTGGAACCCTCCTTCCGGGGGCTCGCCTGTGACCCCAGGCCGTAGGTGGGGTCAGGAGCCACTGCCTGAGCCACAGAGCCAGTGCTAAGCCTTGAAGATATTCAGGGATATGGATCAAGGGTCAAGTTCATCATCCTCCTTCACTAAGTACAAACCGCTGGTGAGTAGCCTGAACTTGGTCATCTGACTGTGGAGTAACTTTCTGCAGTGATGTCCATAGCACCCTCACTGCCCTGAGTGTTAGAGACAGAGGCCAGTCCACACTCTCTGCAGCCTTCTTCACCTCCTTCTTGTCATTAATGCTTCTCTGAAGAGTGGAAGAAAGCAGACACACCTAGATCAAGGCTCCCAAGCCCTGGGAAGGCCTGAGGGTCCTCAGCACCACGGACAGCATCTCAGCCCTGCTCCTCCCAGGACTTGAGCAGAGAGGAGGTAGAGACTGCTGGAGAGGCTGCCCATTTCTGTTCTACAGAAGAAAATGCAATTGAGGCAGAATGCGATCACAGGGACAACCCAATTCTGCTCTCATCTCTCAATCCTAAATCTTTTGCACATATGTGGATGTCACGAGTTGGCTCCCTGCATGGCTGATGGATACATCCAGAGGGTGTCCTGGGGGAGGCCGGGAGTCTGCTCCAGCCTCTTGAGGAACCTCCTGGCCCCTGAGGGTCAGGCCATTCCCTTGCCTACTGAAGGCAGGAATGTTTCATAATTAACTTCTGACCCTTAGTGCCTGGCCTTGGAAACACACCCATCACCCATCACCCTGCCCCCCTGAGCACAGTATCCTGTTTCCTGAGCCCCAGCTGAGCCTCCCAGGTAGCAGGGCTGAGCAGAACCCTGGGCTCTTTTCACAGCTCCTCCTGACTGAGCCCTGTGCCTGGTGTTAGAGTCCTTTGCCCTCTGCCTGCCCTTCCAGGCAGAGCAAACATTCCACTCAAGAGCAAGTGGAGCAAGGGCGCTTCTTCAAGGGCAAGAAGATCTCCCAAGATAGAAACCAACATCTGAGGGTTCCTGCACATGCCTGTGGCCCCTCAGAGGGAGAGAAGAGACGAGGGCCCTCACAGGCTCCCCCATCTTCCTCTTTCACATCCACATCCCACCCACAGAACCAACCCTGATGCTACAATCCCAGCCCTGCCTTTCTATGGGGCTCAGGTCCATTCTGTCCACTGACAGTGTCCAACATCAGGGTCACCTGGATGCTCTTCTCTTTATGATTCCTTTCTTTCTTTTCTTTCTTTTTTTCGTTTTTGCTTTCAATTGGGTTCTCTTTGCTTTTATTTTCCTAGTTCTTGTGGTAGGACATGAGATTTTTGATTTGAGATATTTCCTCCATTGTAATGTAAGCATTTCAGGGTATAAATTCCCCTCAACACACAGCATAAGTTGCATCCCATAATGGTGCAGATTTTTTTCAGTGTATCTAATTTAATTCTGTGTATTTTAAAAACTTTCTTTGAGTGTTCTCTTTTGATCTATAGTTTATTTACATATATGTAGCTTACTTTCAAAATGTTTTGGAGATTTTTCTGTTGTCTTTCTTTTATTGATTTCTAGTTTGATTACTGTTTTCAGAGAACATACTCTGATTTCATTTATTTTAAATTTGGTTAGGGGCAGGGCACTGGGTGGTTAAGTCCATTAAACATCTGCCTTGGCAGGGTCATGATCCCAGGGTTGGAATGGAGCCATCAGCCATCACTGAGATCGAGATCCCCTGGGATCAAACCCCCATCTAATCCCCTGCTCAGCAGGGAGCGTATTTCTCTCTCTTCCTCTGCTGCTCCTCCTGCTTCTGCTCTCTCACCCTCTCTCTCAAATAAATAAAATCTTTTAAAAAGTAAATTTGGTTACAGGCAGCTCTCTCCCTCCATGTGTGTTGAATGTGACTCTTGATCTCAGGAACATGTATGTGTTCTAGCCCCTCTTTAGGGATAGAGTTTACTTCAAAATGAAGTAAATTTGGTTAGTTTTAGATAGCATACCAAACATAAGCAACAGAGAATGATGAATTGCACATCTTTTACTTTGACCATTCTTTAATAGCAGGTCAGTGGCAACAAATTTTCATACTCTTCCTGCATCAGAAAATTTCCTTGTTTCCCCTTTACTCCTGAGGATCATTCTGCCAGAAACAGGATCTGTCCTCCACTTGAAAAATGGGCCACTTCCTTCTGGCCTCCAAACTGCCAGGTACAAAACCTACCGTCACTGTTCCTTAATACGCAATGGGTGGTTTCTTGGGCTGATTTTCAAGATTTTCTTTTCTCTTGTCTTTAAGAAGCTTACCACGGGGATCCCTGGGTGGCGCAGCAGTTTGGCGCCTGCCTTTGGCCCAGGGCGCGATCCTGGAGACCCGGGATCGAATCCCATTTCGGGCTCCCGGTGCATGGAGCCTGCTTCTCCCTCTGCCTGTGTCTCTGCCTCTCTCTCTCTCTCTGTGACTATCATAAATAAATAAAAATTAAAAAAGAAGCTTACTATGTGTCTTAGTGACTGCTTATCATGCTTGAGGTTCACTCAGCTTGTTGGACCATTATTTCTTCAGATACTTTTTTCCTAATTTTGGTATTCAGTGGTGCCAATGTGAGATCTTTTCCTTTTTTTTTTAAATTTAAGAATTATTTATTTATTTGAAAAAGAGAGGGGGAGAGATCCCTCCCAATAAGGAGGAGTGGCAGAGGGAGAGAGAGGGAAAAAATCCTCAAGCAGACTCCCTGCTGAGCAAGGAGCCCGATGCAAGACTCCATCCCAGGACCCTGGGATCATGACTTGAGCCAAAGGCAGATACTCAAACACTGAGCCACCCAGGTGCCCCAGGGTTATTTTTTTTCAATTGGGGCATGGAGCTTTATGTTATAGAAGTACACACAAATGTATTTATAAACCATATTCTATAATTTCTAATATTTAATCCAGTGGGTGGAGGTATAGAAGGGAGATAGATACAAGGTTTATCAGGAGTTGATGCTTTGGAGCTGGAGATGGGTACATGGGGGTTCAGGATACCATTCTTTCTGGTATAATGAAGTATACTCCATTTGTATATGTTTGTATACAAACTCTGTTTTCTATCTTTGGGAATTTCTATGTGAAAAGATTCTCAGGAAAGAGGAACAAATTTCCAGTTCAGAAGTTTTATCAGTGAGTTTCACAGAACTTTCAAGAGAAATGGCCTCAAAATTATACAAATTTAACTATAGGATAGAGTAGGAATATCCCCCAACTCATTCAGAGATTAGTATAACTCTTAAATTGAAATAGACCAAACACAAAGGTACAAAAAGAGGAAATTATCAGGCCAGTTATCCTCATGAACAGAGGCAAAAATGCTAAAGCAGGTATTCTCAAACTAAATCTAACAGTACATAGAATAAGGCAGTAGACCAGGACTAAGTTCAGTTTGTCCCAGGAAAGCAAAGGTGATTGAACATTAGAAGTGTGTCAATGGGAGAACATGGGTGGTTCAGTCAGATAAGCAGTCGGCTCTTGATTTTGGCTCAGGTCATGAAGTCAGGGCCCTGGGTTGATCCCTGTGTGAGGTTCTGTGCCTGCTTGAGGATTTCTCTCCCTCTCCTCCTGCCCCTCCCCCTTCTCTCAAATAAATAAATATATATTTTTAAAAAGGAATTTATACATCAAAGAGGGCAGGAACTTCTAGGGTGCTAGCTATGTTTTGTTTCCAGATCTAGCTGTTAGATTCATGGGCATGCTCAGTTTTGGAAAATTCAGTAAGCAAAGCACTTCACTCTGTAACATACTCCTACCCCCTCAACTTTTTTCAATGATCTACACTCTTTGAAAAGACCAGACCAGACATGATGTCTTGTAGAATGTCCACATTCTGACTTGTTTGCTTATGGTGTCATTTTACTTGCTTCTCTAAACCCTGTACTTCCTGTAACTTAGAAAATGAATCTCAAAGCTTAAATATATGTATATAGGCAAGAATGCTTCCTGGTTTTTTATTGCATCATATCAAGAAGCACATTCTAACTAGTTGTCTAGACTTATTCCAGTGTAACTATTTTAGTGACATAAAAATTGATCAGTGGGCATTTTCTAAAGTTTCTATTTAAATTCCAGTTAGTTGGGGCACCAGGGGGGCTCGGTCAGTTGGGCATCTGACCTTTGGTTTTAGGTTGGGTCATGACCTGGAGTTGTGGAATTGAGCTCTGCATCAAGATCCAGTTTATTGGAGTCAGCTGGAGATCCTTTCCCACTTCCTCTGACCCTGAACCCCCAATAATAAATCTCTGATTTAAAGAATAAAATAAAATACATTTCAGTTAGTTAACATACAGTATAATATAAGTTGCATTTGTACAGTACAATGATTCAACACTTCCTTACAATACTTGGTGCTAACCACAACAAGTGCCCTCCTTAACCCCATCTCCTATTTCACTCATCCCGCCACACATACCTCCCTTCTGGGAACCATCGTTTTTTTTCTCTACAGTGAAGAGTTTGTTTCCTGGTTTACCTCCCTCTCTCTCTTTTCCTCTATTCTAATATGTTTTGTTTCTTAAATTCCACAGGAGTGAAATCATATGGTATTTCTCTTTCCCTGACTGATTTATTTCATGTATATAATACATCTAGCGCCATATACATCATTGCAAATGGTAAGATTTCATTCCTTTTTGTGGCTGAGCTGTATTCTTTAAATTTTTTTTAAATTTATTTATTTATGATAGTCAGAGAGAGAGAGAGAGAGAGAGAGAGAGAGGCAGAGACACAGGCAGAGGGAGAAGCAGGCTCCATGCACCGGGAGCCCGATATGGGATTCGATCCCGGGTCTCCAGGATCGTGCCCTGGGCCAAAGGCAGGCGCCAAACCGCTGCGCCACCCAGGGATTCC